AAGACCACCAAGAAGCGCCCGCAGCGCGCCACCTCCAATGTCTTCGCTATGTTTGACCAGTCACAGATCCAGGAGTTCAAGGAAGCTTTCAACATGATCGACCAGAACCGTGACGGGTTCATCGACAAGGAGGATCTGCATGACATGCTGGCTTCCATGGGTGAGGAGACCCTCCCCCGCCCCTCCCCACATCCCTCAGTCCCATTTCCCCTCACGCCTCCTTAGCCAGCTGCTCGTGGGCCACAGGAACAGTGCTTGGTGAGGGGTCCAGGTCACCGTGCAGTGAGCCCACTGTTGGGGTGACACTGGGGCACAACCCTCCTGCTTTGGGTCAGTTTGAGACTGCAAAAACTGGAGAGATGTCCTTCGGTGCACTGATTGGCCTTGAAAGTCTGCTTGTGGAGGTGCCCGAGGGTCTGTTGTTATTAACAGCTGCATTCACTGGTAAGGACAGGTCCTTGCCTCTGCTGGGGCTGGAGCAGCTCTGCACAAGGAACAGCTGGGGGCTGGAGTGGTGCCACCCCAAAATGTCACCAGGACAAAACCTTTTAGTTGCTCATAGCCAGTGTGACAGGACAGACCTGTCCCATGCCAGCTTGCATGGATGGGTCAGTGCGGATAGGGGGCTCCCAACCCAGCACCCATAGGCTCTTCCACGAGGGATGGAGCAGGATGCAGCCTCCTGCTGGCCACAGAATCCTACATGGGAGATGGCTTCAAGCTGTGGATGGGTGAGGTCTGTGTCTGTGCTGGGAGGGGACTGCAGCAGGTGGGTCCTGGTGGGGCTGGTGACAGCACTGAGCCAGATGGAGCCCTCCAAGCAGGCTGGCAGCTTGGGGAAGGTGTGCGCTTCCCAGCCACTCTGGCTCAGCACTGCCTGGCACAGGGGCTCTTGGGGATGAGACCGAACCCAGCAGTGCAGCCATGCTGCCCATCCAGAGCCTGCCCCTCGCTTTCCCCTTTTTGGCCCCACGCCATGATGGGAGCTCTGTCAATCATTGATCTGGTGGCTGGATCTGTTCTGAAAGTCCCACCTGAGAGAGAAAGTACAAGAGGGCCATGCACTGAGTGCGTCAGGGCTGCACTTAGCAGAGGCCAACCGTAATATTCTACTGGGAGCCATGCTTGGGACACAGTGACATGGAGAGGGACTGAGCAGGAGCATTGGATGCTATGAAACCCCATCCCTGTGTTCATGGCATCTGTTAATGAGCCCCCAAACCCAACTCCTGTGGCAGTCGGTGGCTGGCAGGGGCATGGAGCACTGGAGGCTGTCATACTCAGGGGGTATGTGGTGAGCTCCATCCCAGTCTGGTAGGCCAGAAGCAGGGGCACATCTCCAGGGCAGCCTGGAGTGGTTGTGGTCAGCTCAGGCACTGTTCAGGCAGGTAATGCCTAAAAAAAAAAGGAAAAATCCTTGGGAGTCTGCCGTAGCTGAGCTTGGCAGGCAGCATGGGCATGGGGCTGGCCTTGGAGACGGGACCCACACCCTGCTTGTGCTTGGCAGGAAAGAACCCCACTGATGAGTACCTGGAGGGCATGATGAGCGAGGCACCGGGGCCCATCAACTTCACCATGTTCCTCACCATGTTTGGGGAGAAGCTGAACGGCACCGACCCGGAGGACGTCATCCGCAATGCCTTTGCCTGCTTTGACGAGGAGGCATCAGGTACACCTGGGGAGTGCCTGCAGGCGGCTCTGAGGCCGTGGGCAGAGCTGGGAGGAGGGTAGTTGTGGGGTCCCCACTCACGCTGCCCTCACACACTGATGCTGTCCCTGCCATCCCCGCAGGGTTCATTCACGAGGACCATCTGCGTGAACTGCTGACCACCATGGGGGACAGGTTCACTGATGAGGAGGTGGACGAGATGTACCGGGAGGCGCCCATCGACAAGAAGGGCAACTTCAATTATGTGGAGTTCACCCGCATCCTGAAGCACGGAGCCAAGGACAAGGACGATTAGAGCAGAGAGCTGCCCCCCGCCTCCCGCACGTGCCACCCGCATCCCCGCCCCTCGCTGCCCAGCCCCACCGCAGGCTCCCCCTGGCCGAGCCGGCACCCTGCTCCGTGCCGTGCTGCCATCGCGTGCCCGCCTGTCCTCTCCCATTGCTCCGGGATCCCGGCCAGGCTCCCCCCACGCTCCGCCGCTCACCCCGCTCAGCAGGAGGGTCAGGACAGGGGCAGGCAGCCCGGGGAGCGCTGGCCGGGGGGTTCCGGCTGGCTCAAAGCAGCGCAATCCCTCTCCCAGAGGACCTAACACAGAAAGAAGCTCTCCCCTTTCCTCCCACACTCCCTTCCTTTAGGAAAGAAAGAAAAGAACACTTTGTTTCTTCCTCTTTGGCTGTTTTATGGCTTTAGAGCCCGTGATCTAAGGGATTCAGAAAGCTGAAGCAGCCTATAAAGTCTGATGGGTGTGACACAGCAGCGTGCTCTGTACTCCCTCCCTGCCTGGCACAGCCCTGGGTTTGGAGTTTGGGTTGGGGCTGCTCCCACACCGTGTTCCCCCACTTCGCTGCCCTGCAGCAGCTCCTCCTCCCAAAAGCAATTAATTTGATTTTGAACCCAATAATTCCTGACCCATCTGCAAAATCAGCTTAAAGGCAGCATTTACAGCCTTTGCTGATGAGAGCTGCGCTACAGGACGGGCAGAGGGATGAGCGCGGGGAGGCGTTTGGATGCAGCACCGCACGCGTGATACGGGCTGCGGGCAGCGCGACGTGCGGCTGCGAGCGCGGATGGGTGCGCGGGGAGCGCGGCTCGGGAGGAATGCGCGCTGCAGGTGTGTCGTACCGCGCTGCACCAGGGGACGGGCGGCCCCCGGGAGGGCGGAGCTGAGCTGCTGTCGAAATACGGAAAGAAGGAAAAAAAAAAAAAAAGAAACAATCACATGCTAGGAATTAGGAAGGAAAAAAAAAAGTGGATTAAGAGAGAGCAGTGTCTGGCCATCGCCTCGGGCCCCGCATCGCCCCACCTCGAACGTAAAGCAGACCCGGCCGTGCTGAGAGAGTTCAGAGAAGGGCACCTGAGAGTCCCACAGCAAAGAACGGGATTTGCTACAGCAGCTTGATTTAAATCGGGCGAAAGAGAAGCTGAGGGCACACGCGCAGTGGGACTGCTGGTTACACGGAGCCGAGGAGCAGCTCCTGGGACCGGCTCGGATCCTTCAGGCTTTTCTCCTTCAACCGCACCTCCTCCGCAGCTGCCGGCCGGGTTTCCAGCAGCACAGCAGTGGGTGGTGGGGCTGCTTCGCTTCCGTGCGGCCGACTGTGCTCCTAGAGGCATCTCATCCCCTTTAGGCAGAGCTGCTTCATGTGCAGTGGGTGAAGAAGTATCAGCAAACTTGCAAACTCTTTTTCTTGTGAAGGGTTCCCAGGTTTTACTTCTAAAAAAGCCCCAAAACCCAAACAACAGCCAAAACAAAACCTCAAAGCGCTTCTTTCAGAGGTGTGCTGTTTCTATCCCCAAACCAAAACTAGGCATAATGTCAGGAGTATTTGGTTGAGGCAGGGACACCGAGTCAGGAATCCATCTTTTGGGGTTAACCCGAAGCAGCTGCTTTCTCCTGTCCTTGCCGGGCCACACCGTCTCCATCCTCCTCGCTCATCAGAGAAGGGCGCTCTCATTCCTGAGGAACGCAGCAGCACCTCAGCCGCTCAGTTCGTGTCCGCCAGTCCCCTGACCAGGGGCTTTGCCCAGATTTCGGCTCGTCAGCGGCCGCAGCCAGCGTCGCTCGGAGCTGTGTTTTCTGCCCGCAGCCGAGACAGCGCTGGCACATGGCAGCCTCCCCAGGGAGGTTTCTCCCAGGCCCGACCCCCCCGCGCAGCGCTGCCGGCGGCTCCACGGCCCCTCCCCCCCCCCCCCCTCCCGCAGTTCCTGCTGCTATGGGGGCACGGCTCGGGCAGGCAGCGCCCCGCAGGGCCCCCCCAGGAGCCCCTTCCTTGCATCAAAAAGTACAAATTCAACAACGTCAGGAGACGAAGGAAGGAGGGAGCGGCTCCCGAGCGGAGCCGGCAGCCCCGTGGCCCCATCGGTTCACAGCATCCCCCTCCGGCACCGCCCGCCCGATTGTTTTCCAAACGGCCGAAGTTTAACGGCATTATCATGTCAATGGGCCCGGAGGGGTGGGGGCTCTGCCCGGGCCGCGGGGCTGTTCCCGGCCGTCCCGGCCCCGGGGAGCGGGGATTGGGTCCCCCCGGGAACCCCCGGGCCGGGGGCTGCGGCGGGGCGCTGCGGGGCGGTAGCGTTACGCCGAGCGATTCGGGGCTGCGGGTTCACGGGAGACGTGGCGGACTTAGCGGCAGCGAAACGTCCGCTCGAAGCGGTTCTCATTCGGCCGCCGCGGAACGTCGAAGGAGAGCGGCTGCGGGCGGGGATCGCGGCGGGGCCGCCCCGCGGAGCCGCGTGCGGGAGCGGTGTGCGGACCTCGCGCGGCCGCGCCGGGCTCCGGGGAGCGGCCCCACGGCCACGCGTGACGCCGCCGGCGGTACAGAGACGGGGCGCGCGGTGCCGACGGGCGGAGGGGGATCCCGCGCGTCCCCCAAGCGAGTTTCCCACTTCGCTCTCCCGCTCGCCGCCTTTCCTCCCCCCGGCACGGGAGCGCCGCGGCGCCGTTTCCGATTTCCCACCGCGTGAGTTAAAAGCGCCCGAACGCGGCGCGGACGGGACCGGGGCGGCCCGAGGTCCGCGGGGCTGCCACCCGCGGCCGTTCCCCGCCGCTCGCTCTCCCGCCCCGGGTCTCCTCCGGCCGGCTCCGCGGTGCCCGGGCCGCGGGAGGGGAAGAGGGGCCCCGGGCTCGCGGCGGGGGCCGGCGGTCGTCCCGCGAGGAGCCCCGCGCCGGCCGCGGGAGGGGGGCGGCCCCGGCTCCTCCGTCCGCAACTCCGCCGCGCCGCCGCGGGGCCGCGGCGGTGACAGCCGGGGGCGGGCGGGAGGGCCGGGGGCGGGGGGCCCGGCCCAAGTTCCTGCCTCCTTGGGAACAAAGGGAACTCTGTCTCGGCATCTGTCACCGCCGCGGCCCGCAAACTTTTCGGGGCGCCTCGGCCGCTCGCCGCCGGCCCCGCCGCTGCGGGAGGGCTCCTCCCGCACCCCGACCGCGGCCCCGGCGCGGCGGCGGCGCGACCCCGGCGCTGCCCATGCAAGGGCCCAGGCGGCGGCGGCGGCGGCCCGGGGGTAAGAGCGCAGCCGGAGCGGCGCAAAACATGGAGTCCCGCGCGGGCTGCGCGCGCGGCGGTGCGGGGCGACGCGGTGCGGGGCGGTGCGGCGCTCGGCGCGGCTCGGCGGGGCAGTGCGGAGCGGTGCGGGGCGGGGCGGTGCGGACCCGCAGCGCGGCCTCGCTCCCTTTGTGCGGCCGGGCCGGGAGCCGCCCCCCCTCGGGCGGCGTGAAAAGTTTGTGCGAGTCCCGGGCCGGTGCGCTCGGTGGGTTTTGTTCGCGCTCGGCGCTGTTTGTCTCTTCGGGCTCCAGTTCGGGGCAGTCGTTAGGGGGCCGGGGCGTGTTTTGTCGGTTTTTATTAATTTTTGCGGGCGGTGGTGGTCGCGGGGGGTGGGGGGGAGGTCGAGTTCGGGTCTCCGTTGGCTCTCCGCGCGGTTTCGGGTTTCCGTCCCTCTTGCCGAGCTCCAGCAGCGGGGCGGGCCCCCGCCGCCCGCTTTGTGCCCTCCGGGGCCCGGTACCTGTTGCGGGCGGCGGCGCTCCCGGCCCCTCCCGGCGCGTTCCCCGCTGACAGCGGCCGGGCCCCGCCGCCCCCCGGACCCCCCGTGTATTGATGCTCCCGGGGCCGCGGCGCGCCCCCCTCCCCCGCGCTCTCGTCCTCCGTCCGCCGCGGGGAGCCGGGCCCGGTCCGGCCCGCCCGTAACTCCGCGGGCCGTGCGCGCTCGGGCGGGCGGGGCTCCGTCTGTGCCGGTGCTCTGTGCCGGTGCTCTGTACCGGTGCTCGCCCCGACGCGCGCGGTACCGTTCCCCCTCCAGGCTCGAAGCAGCACTGCGCCGCGGGCAGCCCCGCCATGTCGGACAGCGACCTCGGCGAGGACGACGGCGCCGCGGCTCTGGACCCGTCGCAGTCGAACAAGAGGAAGAGAAGGGGCAACCTGCCCAAGGAGTCCGTGCGGATCCTGCGGGAGTGGCTGTACGAACACCGCTTCAACGCGTACCCCTCGGAGCAGGAGAAGCTCAGCCTCTCGGGCCAGACCAGCCTCTCCGTGCTGCAGGTACGGGCGCAGCCCCAGCACGGCGGGGCGGCCCCTCCTTGGGAGCTCCTGGAGCAGGGGCTGCCGGTGCGCTCGGATGGGGCCACACAAGGTGATGCCTGTCTGTCACGTCAGTGCCTGTGGGTGCTTTAGGCTTCCTCGCGTTGCCGAGATGCCCCTGTGGCCCCCTGGTGCAGGGGCGGCCATCCCAGGAGGACGCCGTGCCGGGGGCCCTGGGCAGCACTGGAGCTCGCTGCCCGGCACAGCAGTGGGACAGCCGGCCCAGCGCTCCTCTCCCCCGCTCCTCGCCCTGCTGCTGGCCCAGGCACCGCTGCGTGGGCCGTGGCACCGTCTGGTTTCCTTCTGAACCGACAAGGCAGGCTTTATTTTCTCTTTTCCTTATCGGTTTGAACACCGGCAGAGCAGCAGGCCTGTGTCCAGCAGCCTAGGGAGAGCCCGGGGCTGGGGCCGGCCATGGGCTTGGGGCCACCTCAGCCTGGGCCTGCCCCTGGGGTGCTGGGCTTGCCCGGCAGGGAGCTCTCAGGAGGTGCTGGCAGGGCTGTAGGGGGTTCCTTTCCCTGAAGCCCCGGGGGGGCAGGGCCCAGTGCAGTCTCTGGGTTTCCCAGGGGCATGGCTGCAGCCAGGCTGGGCTATGGGGTGCTCTCCCCAGGAGTTGGGGCAGTGGGGCCGAGCCGGGCCCTGCGCTCCCAGCGCCTGTTTGCATGCACGGCGGCCCCGGCTCTGCAGGGTGATGGCAGCTGTGTGGCCCCGTGTCCTCTGTCGGGGTCAGTGAGCTCCTGGTGAGTCCTGCAGCTGCCTGTCCCCCGCCCTCGGGGTGTCCTCCCCAGGAGTGTGGAGGTGCTGCTCTTGTGGAAGTGGTGTTTAAAAAGAGAGAAAAACAAAACAGCCCAGTGGCATGAAAGCGGAGGAGCTGAGGCCTGTGCAGCCCCCATACAGTTGAGTGCTGGAGTGTGGCTGGAGCAGCCCCCAGGCCGTGTGCTGTTCTATGGCCGGGCTGTGTGCCGGGCTGTGTGCCACGTGCTGGGCTGCAGCCTGCTGGTGGCGGCTCTGTGCCATGGGGCTACAGGAGCATGTCGAAGGCTGCTGCCTATGACTTGCAAGGGGAGAGGGCTTGTAAGGAAAGAGGGGCAAGACTCGTGGATTGGAGGGTGTTAAGTGCCAGATATTGTCTGAAAGACAACAAAAGGACAACTGAGATCTTGCTGTGATCGAGGTTGTGGTAAGTTCTCTTTCCCCAAGGAAATAATTTACAGAGCTGTTGATTTGGGAAATATTCATCATTTTTTGGCCTGATTTATTCTCATCTAATTGTTTTCTAGAAAGTAGGCATTTTTTTTTAAATGCAGTTTTTTATATGAAGACACTGAAACAATGCATGGCAGAAGCCAAATACACGGCTGCTGTACTTCCAAAAGGGCTTCCCAAGGTGCAGCTGCAGAGCTCTGCCCCGTTGCTGTGCAGATGTTGAGAAGTGCCTTTGAAGCTCAGCCGCAGTCTCACTGGCGGGCAGCAGGCACAGAACCAGATAGTGTGCTGCCTTATTCCCTCTGCTGCCCACAGGGGCCGAGGTTGCAGCTCTGCGAGTCGGGGAGTTGGTACCGGAGAGCTGAGGGCAATGCTCTGCCTGCCTGCACAGCGCTCCGCAGGCTGGGCAGTCCTGCACACCGTGCTGGGATGGAGGTGCTGGGGAAAAGGGGCTGCCCAGGCTGGCAGTATGGGGCAGGAAGCAGCCGGCGCTGGGGTTTCCGCATGCAGCTCCTACTGGGGGAGATGTGGGGTGGAGGAGCCCTGCGATAGCTGAGGGAGGCACAGAACTTCTCACTGACAGCACTGTGCCCCTTTCTCCTCCCAGATCTGCAACTGGTTCATCAACGCCCGGCGGCGGCTGCTCCCTGACATGCTGCGCAAGGACGGGAAGGACCCCAACCAGTTCACCATCTCTCGCCGAGGGGGCAAAGCTGGCGACGTGACCCTGCCACGGGGTGCCACCGCTGGCTCCGGAGTGCTGGTGGTTCCTCCCGTGACGGCAGCGGGGGCTGCCAAGGTGCTGCCAATATCCGTGTGCCCGCAGGTACTGTGCCATCCTGCCCAGGCACTGGGTGGCAACCTGACAGTGCTGGGTGCCTGCAGTCCTGAGCGGGAGAAGCAGCCTGGCCTGCAGCGAGTGGAGCCAGATCCCCACCCCAAAGCTCTGCCAGGTGCCGCCGGCAGCACTGTGGCCCTGCTGGCGCGTGCCGAGGCAGCCAGCCCCACCAGTGGACTCTTCAATACGCCGCCCCCCACGCCCCCTGAGCTCTTCGGTGACGACTTCAGCAGCTTCCAGCTGCTGGTGGAGGTGGCACTGCAGAAGGCGGCTGAGCTGGAATCGCAGCGGCAGGGCGGGCAGCTGCCCCTCTCACCTCAGACTGAGCCCCCAGGCACTTCTGACAACAAATAACCCCCAGTCCGGGTCCTGCGGGGTGCCCTTCCCTGGGGGTGCCCAACCTCCAGCCTTCTGCCACCCATGGGACCCCTCTTCTCTGGCTCAGGAGCCTGTGACCTCCTGCACCCTCTCACAGCTCATCTCAGAAGCAGACCTGTGCATCCCTGTACCTTCGCTGACCAAGGGGGTGAGGAGAGGAAGGGCTGTCCTGCCCCATCCTGGGGAGATGCCTGCCACCAAGGAGCTCCTGCTGGGAACGGGGCCCTGGGCAGGTGGGACCAGACCTCTGTGACAGAGAGACCTCTCCTTGCCGTGACTGATGGTTGCTGTGCGAAGCCATGGAACTCCCTCGGAAAACCTGCTGACTTCTTTTTCTCATTCCTGGAAACAAGGGTCCAGCCAACACCACTTCTTCAGGGAGAGGAAGAGAGAATATATATATTTTTTAAGTTTGTGTCTGTTTTAAGGATTGTGGATGAAATTCTTTTTCTCCCAAATGTCTCTGATCCTTCTTGTACCTTTCTCCAGTTTTTGCAGACAGCCATAGCAGGGCCTTGTGCTGGCTAGGAGCCACAACCTGCCTGGAGAAGGCTGGGGGACGGGCGAACTGGAAACTTGAAACCCGTGGCAAATGCAGGACCCTCATCTTCTGCCTTAGGGTGTGACAGATACTGCCAGTAGAAATCTCGATGGTGCTGTTTAGCAGTTTTTTGGTTTTTTTATTTGTTGCTGTTGAAACCTTTTCCCTTTGTGATTTATGTTTTTGTTTTTTTTTTTTTTTAATTTTAAATTTCTTCAACAAATGTTTCCATGATTTTCCCCGTGTTTCTCTCATGTTCCTGCTGAAGATGTGCACACTGTCCTGGAGCAGAGAGCATGCTGCAGAGCCTGAGGAGCACCGGCTGCAGGCTGCTGCGGGGGGCGGACGCAAAGCCGACTGTGAAATTTTTGTATCCAAGGTTTTTGTTTTTAATTTAATTTTTTTTTAATTTTTTTTTTTTCAAATAACATTTGGAAAGGAGCGTGTTGTGAGCATGGGCAGCCCGTGCGTTCCTCTGCAGGTGCACTGCTCGCAGCCTGCACACCGCTGCCCCTGGAAAGCAGCCAAACACCGGTGAGATACCGCGGGGGGAGCTGAGTCCTGCTGCTCTCCACTGCCCCCACAGCCCTCCAGCAGCACAGTGGGTGCTGGTGACCTCCAGCATCAGCTGGTGCCTGGGGGAGCCCTGGCACGACAGAGCTTGCTGGCGCTGGGGCTGTTTTTGTCATGGGCAGCTCCTGGGCGTCGCTTTCTGTGCTGGATTGAGAGCCTGGGCACTGCAGGGGTCCTGGAACTGAGCTATTGCTGTTTCACTGTAAATTGAAGTTAAATAGTGATACGTACACACCTATGTTATCTATCCTGAAAAACACTAATCGTAGGTAATTAGCCTGATGTTAAGTTGCATGACTAGAGATAATGTCCACAGGACCTGGTGCTCTGCAGAACATGGAGCCTGGGGAGAGCACTGACTTGGGGGCCTGTTTTTCTTCCTCTTTTCTTGTTTAGAGGAAAGGTGACAGGGGAGGAAGGAGAGCTCCCAAGCACTGAGGGGCTGGGGACAGTTTGCCAGCAGTGCATTGCATTGGCTGATTGCCCTTCTGCAGTGGGGGGCCAAGCATCAATGGTCCCCAGCCAGGCAGGGGCACCAGTGCAGTGCTGTGGGGATGATGCTCACCATGCAGTTACAAGCATCACCTTGCTCAGCTCCCCGGGCTCTGGTTCTGTCCAGCTTTTGCCCTGTCCCTCCTTGCTGGGGAAAGCCCTGAACTTTAGGACAGCCTTTCCTTATTTGTAGGTAGCCCTTCTACCCGGTGCTGTCCCCCTTAGCAGGGAGAAGCTTTTCCTTCACCTCCCCTTATTTTTGCCTCAGTCAAACCAAAGTGGGGACGAGCAGTGCTGCTGCACTGGTGGCAGGAGCGCTGCAGCTGTACCCGTGAGATGGATTGGTATTGATGGAATAGTATTGCTAACCCTGGGGATGGACCAGAAAGAATCTGTGGGGTTGGGGGGAGAGGGGTGGGATTTATGGAATTAAAGTTTGGAGCAAAAAACTACTGTAAATATCTTTTTGTTTGTTCTTCTGTTGTCAAATAAAAGTTTTTGTTTTGTTTCTTTTTTAAATATGAGATCTGAGTCAGGCTGTGTTATGTCACTCTCGCTCCTCCCTCACCTCATTACCCAACGTGCTGATGCGCCGCAGTGCCAGCCCCCAGCTCCTGACACTCAGCCAAAGCAGCTTAAGAGGTCTAAGAACCACTGCTGGGTGAGGGAAAAAAGAGGCCTGTGCCTGGCACCAGCCTGCACCTACCCCATTTGGTCTGGTGGCCATTACCTGCTCACTGCCACAGCACTGCGTCCTGATGTCTGCAAGCAGAAAGCCCCCTCCTCTGCCTGGCCTGGATCAGAAGAGTTGGACTGTTGCTGTTAGACCTTTTCTGAAGGGGAAAAAATGATAATACGTTCATGGCTTGACCCTGCCAGACGCTCAGGTGACATGCAAGGCTGACCCCTGAGCAGCAGCCACTTGCTGCTCCATGTGCAGCTGTGACACGGACCCAAAGGCAGCAGCAGTATCAGAATCGCTGCCCTGGGCTCTGGGGCAGGGCTGAGAGCTGAGCAGGGCTTCCCAGCTTGGGGCAGATGCTGGCAGTGTGCACAGTGGTACTCCGTCTGCTGGTGGCTTTGAATGTGCACATCCTGCACTGCAGTCCTGATGGTTCCTGCTGCCCTATCCCATGCCCCAGGCCCTGGGCAGGGGTCATGGAAGGAGGTAGGCCCCTAGTCCCCCTGCAAAGCCTCACTCCTGCAGCTCCAAGGATGCCTTTTGGCATCTCTGGGGAAAGGAACAGCAACGATTGACCCCACCTTGTGCTTTCTGCTGCTGATTTCTGTTCTCGGTGATGGGTGTGGGCTGGGGTACCCTGGAGGCAGGGAGGTAGGAAAGGACTGAGCTAGCACACAGCCAGGGCCACCAGCCCAGCATAGGGAAGACTACGCAGCAATGAGGACTGTGGCAGATTAAAACACAGCTGGTACTCTCCCATCCAGCTCTGCCTGTCTCTCCAGCAGCCCCAAGAGACACCTCAGGCTCCCTGAGCCCCAAGCTGGGCTCTGGGCACCTGTTGCTGCTTGGACAGGCTTTGGGCAGAGCCTTGGGGATCTGCATTCAGCCCTGCTGGGATGGGGTCACCAGACTTCAGCAGAGCTTGGGCTCCTCAACATCTTCCCTGTAAAGAGACAATGGGAAGGTACAAGAGGCTGGGCGTTGGGGCAGCAGGGGCTGCTACCTGCCTCTGAGCACGGCCACAGGGCTCAGCTCTGCTCCATCATTGCCCCTGTCAACTGCTCCTATGCAGAAAGAGGAGAGCAAGAAGCCATGAAAGTGAGCAGCAGAGATGGCCAACAGCCCCCACCTCTGTCCTGCAAGGCAAGAAGTGTGGATTTGTGCTCCTTGGAGGGGTCCTACCTCATGACCCCAGCCATGTTCTGTTCTCCATCTAGCTGAAAAAAGCTCTTTTAATGTGATGCTTTCATGCCACATGTGATGCCACCACTACCCTGAGAACATACACGTGGTGTGGAGGCCTGGACCAGACTCCCAAGTGAACGCAGACCCCATTGCTGGGGCAGAGGGGCAGAGCAAGGCGGCATGCTCCACAGCAGTGCAATCAGAGGGTCAAATTACAGGTGGTGTCATCACCTCGGCTGCACTGCAAATTGCTCTGTTGCTGCTGTGCTGTCTTACTGCCTCACCTCCCGGCGCTCCCCCAGCAAGGAGCTGCGCTGCCGTCAGAGCTCTGCAGGGTGCTCGGTACGCTCGACTTCTGCGGAGGGCACTGCTGGTGTCAGAGGAATCCCACAGCCATCCCAGCTGACACGTACGATATTTACAGGAAAACTGAAACGGTGGAGCTGATTCCAAGTTTGACCAAAGCACAGCTGACACAAGGGCAGCCCTCATGTAAAACAACAGCCGCGGAGATTCGCACCTGCTGCAGCACGAAAGAAAGACGACCTGCCGCCCGGACGTGGGCACAGCGTGCCCGCCCCGCGCTGAGGTGATGCAGGAGCCCTCGGCCGGGCGGCGCGCACGGCTCGGTCAGACACGGGCCAGGCAGCACTTGAGCGGGGACTGAGTAAGGCGGCTGTGGAAGGAGGCTGAGGCCCCGGCAGGCGGGCGCGTCTCCCTTCGCGCCCCACGCTCCTGGCCCCCAGTACCCCGCTCCCCTGTACGCGCCCCGGAGAAGCAGCGCTGTCCGCGGGGCTGAGGGAGCCGCCGGGCCGGGCCGGGACTGCCCGCGAGCATAGGGAGGAGCAGCGAGCGCCGCACCGCCCTCAGCTGACGGCGGAAGTCCCGCCTTTTCCAGTGGCCACTTTTCCAGGAAGTTCCTCACCGGTGTCCCTGATGTTGTCTGTTGTGATTGGCTGGCGGGTCCGGCGGCCCTTCATCAGATTACCCGGAAGTACACGGAGCACGGAAAACCCTCCCCTTATACACGGGAGCAGCCATTTTGTTTTGACCGCCATTTTATGGCGGGAGCAGCCATTTTGTTAAACGTCACACCGCTCTGTGATTGGCCGGCGGCCATTCTTCACACCCCACACCCACGTGCTCTGAGGCAGCGCTGTGATTGGCTGCGCTCCTTCTTCGCACCGCGAAGCGCCGGGACGCAGAGATGGCTGCGTTGGCAGCCGGTGCGTGCGGATAAAGTAGTTGTACAGAAGCGAGCACAGACATGTATAAACGTTTTATTGATCTGTTTTTCTTTATTTGTATGCATACGCATATAGCTTTACGCATATATGCATTGATCGAGCTGCAGAAATTAAAGGCAGAGCCCGCAGGCCCTGGGATGAGCCTGACGCGCTCCATGCTGCCCGCAGCACAGCGGCTGCACGGCTGCTGCCACGCGTCCGGCCCGCCGCGTGCCGCGGGGCGCCTCCCAGCAGCGCGTGCTGAGGCCCAGCTGCGGGCCGCTGCTCTCTGGGGCAGGAGCAGCTGGCTGCGCCCAGGAGGCCAGAGCCTGCGGGCACCCGCTGAGGGCAGAGGAAGGAAGGCCGGACAAAGCGTTCTCAGCGCGGTGCCGTCGCACGCCCACCCCGCGCAGCAGCCTTCCGGGCCAGGGCCGCCCCCTGCTGCAGCAGCCTCAGCTCCCTTGAGAAGCATTACGTACACAAGTGCCCTTCCCCCGCCCTGTCTTCCCAAGTTCGGTGCTAGAGGCCTCTTAAAAACTCGGAAGCTTCCCAGCCCACCCCAGACACCCAATGGTGTAATCGCCAACTGAGTCTCTCTACACACGAAGTTGAATTTAAGTTACACTACAGCCAAACTTTGATGGAAATATAATTCCGTTGTACGACTATTAAGGCATCTCCAAAAGCACATGCATGCACCCCACCGGTCAGTACAGAATGTTGACTCAGACATCATTCAAGGTTTCACTTTTATTTATTTTTTTGCCTTCTGGATCACCAACACCCTCGCTGAAACTTCTTTGGGATTCCACCCCCACCCCCATGAAAGTAGCAGACCATCTCCCAACTCATTCAAGCAAGTGAACAACAACAACAAAAAAAATCCCCAGCAAGATCACTCAGAATAGGACCAAATGCTTATTTTAAGGGGGTGGCAAAGAATTGGGTGGTGACAGCTCTGGCTTCAAGAAGCCAAACTGAAAAGGAGGCCTACAAAGGAGAAAATGGGCTAAAAAATACTTAGCAATCCTTTCTCTACCCAAAGAGCAGGGAGATAAGGAAAAAATAGTCATCTGATTACACACAGGGTATATATTTTTACACACACTTTTACACACATCTAGATATAGTACATGTAAAAATATATGCTATACATATGCCCATCCTCACAAAGGTGCTTTTAATACACCATCTGCACTGTGTGTATGGGCATGTATACGTGTGTATGAATTAAATGTACAGGTACTACTAAGTGTATATGTGCATATGTACACATACATACAGGCAGGCAGCCTTCCTTTAGCCACCCCTGCCTTCCTTTTTGTACAAAACCCAGTCCTCCCACCCTGAAACACCAGCACACACACCCAGCCCTCCCCTGCCCCAGCCCACTTTGAAACAGGTCCCTCAGTGTTTAGCAGCTTCTTTCTAACAAGCAACTCAGGGGATATAATTTTTGGGGTGGAGGGGCAGAGAAATAAAACTCAAAGTGAAGCATGTGTGGATCATGTCTGTAGTTGCTCTGTGGTCCTTCAGCCCCCCTCCTGTGCCTGTGGTAGGGCACTACCAGCCAAGCACCATCCCTGCCCCCTTTGCCAGCTTATTGCACGTTTGCTTTCAGGCTGCATTTCAGCAACTCTGCATTACATTCCACAGATTGTCATCCTCTCACTTCATTAAAACAGGAATATGAAGCCAGTGCCCAGTCCCTGCCCACCCGTCCTCCCCCCACCCCCTATCCCCATCAAAAGGAGAACAAAAAAGAAAACCAAGAAAGGCTGCTTGCTAGCAGAGTGCAACAGTAGTACACACTGAATAGGTGTTCTCTTCAGGAGCTCTGTGGAAGAGAGGTTATTTCTAACACAGTAAACAAAGCCATGCAGAGGGTAGGAGAAAGGGAGCAGAAGGAGGAAAAATAAAGGATGAGGAGGAAGAACAGAACTAAAGAGGAAGAAGAACACAGCATGGCAAGTGCTCAAGGCTTCATGTTTTGTTGTCCTCTTCTTGTAAACAAGCTAATAATTCTCATTAGTTAGAACAAGTAAAAAGATTGAAGTTCCAAGTTGAGGGGCTGGAGGTTCCAGGAGTCTGTTCAGTCCGTTCAACACCGCCACAGCCAGTGAGAAAACAAGGGGTATTTTTTTCTTTTTTTTTTAATGTTTAAAATCTTCATTACTTAAAGCTGAGAGAAAAAGCCAACTCAGGAGCCCTTTTCAAGGATGGCTCATTGTCTCTAGACTGAATAAATCACACTAGTTTAGAGAGAACCTTTTTTTTTTTTTCCTTTTTAATGACTTATAAAAACCACATGGTTCCTTCCTCTGCCCCTTTACTCAAAGGCGTGTCTGTGCCTCAGGGACGTAGATCTCGATGCTGTCTGCACTCTCCGTGGCTGAGTTCTGCCGGACAGAGGCAGCGCGCTTGGCTGCCATGAGACGCTTGCGAGCTTCCTGGCGCTGCTTGTCTGAATCAGAGGCTTTGTCCCGGTTCAGTTGGGATTTGGACTTTGCTGGCTTCTTTGGCACTGGAGGGGGTGGTTTCTTCTCTTCCTTTAGGGAGACAGTAAGGAAAAACCCAAACATAAAATAAAAATGCACATACAGAATTTGCTCTCTGCTATGGTGGGGACTCTCAAGACCTGAAGAGCTAAGAAACAAGGTTATGAGTGACAAATGCAAGAGATAGGAACAGTTCCAGAGCAAGACACTCATCATAAAATAAGCTTTCTACTCCTTAAAAAATAAAAAAGGACTATTTTGCTTTTCATGGTATATGTACTGAGGTTTTTTTTCTGGCTGTATCTGTGGCCCAGCTGTAAGTCAGAGCACAGAAGACAGCACAAAGACTGAACATCATCTGAAACTGCAAAATTCTAATATGCTGCGCTGCCCATAGCCATAGCATTCTTCCCCTCATATGTGGTCAGACAGGGTGGCCCTGAGATGCAGCCTGCCCTGGATTTCCAAAAGGCTCCAGCAGATGCTTTTTATACCACCCAGGCACCAGTACTTATGCAGTGCTTATAACACTAGAGGCCTCTGCATCACTGCTTTGAGTGTACAACATTCTTCCATCTTCCTCTTGTAAAAATTGCTTCCACTATTACTCAAGAGGCTGTGAAAGCATGCACAAGGAGGATGGCTGATTAACAATACAATCTCATTAGTACAAGTGCCAGAACTATTATCGCAGGCAGCTAGATTATATGGAGGGATTACACTGCAGAAATAGAAGGTAGTGAACATCTCAGAGATCTTCTGTTTGCAGACAGGAGTAGATGTCATACCTGAAATATCTGTGAAATGCTCTCACTACTCTAAATTGCCCCACACTCACCTTTCTCTCCGGTGTCTCTGCCAATTGCCAGCTATTAGCTTTCAGATGGTACAGCTCATCAAATTTCATGCTGATGTCTTCAATGGACAACTGCAGGAGATCCCAAAACCCAGCTAGGTCCTGGGCTGTGGGTCTGGGATTGGCATTAGGGTTCTACAAGGGAAGGCGTAGAAATACATCAGAAAGAATATGCCTGTACAGCTAACATCTACTCTTTTCTAATGACTGAAGCTTCAAAAACCCTTTAAGAAACTTCAGCCTTAAGTAGGAACAGGCATGAGGCCATCATTTACAGACAGAAGTTTTTCAGCAGCAATCAGGAAGAAGAGATCCTGATGGAATTTCTTATATAAGAGACTGAAAAATAATCCTAAAAGACACTCTGCAGCAGAAGGCAACAGCACCTTTCTCCTCATGTCATCTCTGGTTAAGTCTAATCCCACAGCAGTAACCTCCAACTGAAGATCTCTGGCATGCAATTCAGAACACTTTTTTTTTTTTTTAAAGTACATTGATCATAACTTAAGGGAATTGAATAATAGAAACTGATACAGCACAATGCAAGCCACAGCTGACAGCTGGAAAGCTTGCATGCTACTGTTTTCACAAACAAAACTACTTTGCTACACATCTGAAAGTATCAGTACAGGTCAGGGAATGACCTGCTGGAAAGAAGCTCTGTGGCAAAGGACCTGGGTGCCCTGATGGCCAGCACTTTGCCCATGAGTCAACAGTGTGTCCCGGTGGCCAAGAAGGCCAATGTTATATTAGGGTGCATTACAAAGAGCATGGCCAACAGAGTGAGGGAGGTGGTTCTCCCCTCTGCCCTCTGATTTGCCCTGCTGAGACCAAATCTGGAGTTCTGTGTTGTTTTGGGTGCCTCAGTTCACAAAAGACAAGGATCTCCTAGAAAGAGTCCAGCAGAGGGCCATGAAGATCTCCAGGGCCTGAAGCATCTCTGTATGATGTATGACGAAAGGCTGAGAGTGCTGGGGAAGAGATGACTGAGGTTGGGGGGGGGGGGGGGGGGGGGGGGGGAGGGGTAGATCTACAAGTATCTAAAGTGAGGAATTCAAATGGGTCCAGGCCCTTTCTGTGGTTTGTAGTGACAGGAGAAGCGGCAACAGGTGAGAACTGGAGCACAGGAAGTTTCATCTGAGCACAAGGAGGAATTTCTCTACAGTGAGGGTGCCAAGCTCTGGCACAAGCTGTGCAGAGGAGGTGGAGCCTCCTTCTCTGGAGATATCCAAACCCACCTGGATGCTTTCCTGCATGACCTGCTCTAGAAGTGGGGTGGGGCTGGGGAACTCAAGAGAAGCCTTCCATCCCTTTGATTCTGTGATTTCTTAGACTTGTTTATAGGTTCATAGAATTGTAGAAAGGCTTGGGCTGGCAGGGACCCTACAACCCCCATCCCCACCCCTGCCATGGGCTGGCTGCCCTACCTCAGCTCAGGCTGCCCAGGGCCCAGCCATGGCCTTGGGCACCTCCAGGGGATGGGGCACCTACATTTTGCTGGGCAGCAGTACCAGCACCTCATCATCATAACTTCTAAAAAAAATTTTTAAGGAGCTAAAGTAAATTTGCCCCCATTAAAAACAGAAATTCCCTAATTCTCAGGCACCTAAACTGCCAACATAGGCCTGCACTGTCCCAGGAAAGCACAGGATTAAATCTAAGCAACTCAGCACAATGTCTCAAAGGAAAATTTCAACACAGAATATTGCTGAAAGCCTGGCTGCTGGTGTTCTTCTCTCGGTCATGTTCAAAGATCAGCAAGGGAACATCCAGCACTTCACCTCCTTCTTCTTCCTCTATGTTTTTTGCAAGTAAAGGGAACACTCAATTCTGCAAAACCCAAAAGCTTGTGGGGAAAGAGACAACCCCCAAATCTTAGATTCCCACCCATCCTCAAGTTAGCTCAGCAAGAGCAAACCTTCACATTAATTTGAAGAGATCTGATTCAAGCCATGTTTTGTGATTAACCAGAGACAACTGTGTTGGGACAGTTCTACCATCCACATTATCTACATGCAAAGGAAGCATCTTTGGAGAACAACATGCTTTTCAAACACCCCCTCCATTTGGCAAAAATCTGTGTTTCACCTAAAAATGTCCTTTAGAAGCAACAAAGAAGTGGTATCCAGGACACACAGCAGAATGGTTACATGACATCAGACCTACAAGAGACTCTGCAGGTGCCCTTTAATGTGCCCTAATGGCAGTTGAAGAGAATTTCTCTGTGCCACACAAGCACCAAAGCAAACTGCAAATATTCATCCCTGAGCAGAGCACAGCTAAGAAATGCCTGTTCAGCCATCCACTGCTCACCTGCTATTTGAAAACAGCATGAATCCATCACAGCACAGTGGTCAGGCTGTAGGCTACAGCCACTCTGGCTTTGCTCTGTACCACTATCAGGTATTATAGTGTCAGTGTAATAGTATTCCTGTTGTGCTGCTGAAACAGCTGTATTTCCCTCCCAGAAAGAGGCAGGAATAAAACCAGACTCACCAAGTTTTGCTCACACAGGCCATGGAATTGCTGGAACTTCTGTGACATTAGTAGCTGTGCACTGCCCACTGCACTCAGGACTTTTCCTAAGACTATTAGAGGATGAAAAAGAAAAGAAAGAAGGGCTTAGTTGAACAGTCCATGCGTGCAGTAACAAACTCAGGCATTCATGGAGCAAGAAACAATCATTAGCAGTTACAGAGATCTGTTAAGAACTAACTACTCTCAGGCAACAAAGCTGCACTGAAAATACAGTCTATGGTTATCTCTGCCATCCATCATTGCTCCTTCTATCTAGAGCAGGTCTGAAGCAGGACAACGGATGAAGATCATGGCAACAGAGCTTGCAGGAAGTACCTTGAGGCTTGTGTGATGGGCTGAAGATGACTCAAGCGCCAGCCAGAGGAGTTGTAGCTGGCGCCTGCTCACAGATCATCTCCTGCTCTTCTGCCCATGGACAAAGAAAAAGAAGCAAGGGACAGGAGAACTGTCTCCAATCTCCATTTACCAGAATGGATTAAAATACTGTCAGGCAAGTGTTTTTAATCACAATGCTTTTAAAATCCACGGCTTTATACTGCTCTTAGCGGGCCTCCAAGGAACCTCTGAGTATAGCAACATTCTTCTGGTTGATTATGGAAAAGTGCTAAATATGGGCTTTTCCCTTGCAAAGGCAGGGATAAGAGACTCACAGTGCACACAAATACATCATGAGCACAGATGAAATGATCTGCTTTCTTCTCTGTAGCCTGATGCAGTTCTCCCAAATCAGTTCTGAATGTTTATAGATCTGTGCTTGACTGAACAGACATAAGCTGGGCTTTCTTTACACCCACCACATTCTTAGTTACAGAAACTACTAGGAGACTGCTCTTAAGGTCACAGATTTAACATCAAATCAGTCAGTGTCTTCATACCAAAGCACTGTTGCCAGAAGCAGAGCAAGAGCAACATGACACGCTCTGTCCCTCTGAAGCATGCAGAGCCCCATCACTGACTGTCCAGCTCAGGAGCCAGTGCAGCATCAGAGTGTGATACGATTAGAGATCAGCTGCCCGCACCCACAGCAGTGACAGCAAGCTACAACTAAATCTCACCACCATTTTACCTTTCTTGGGTATAAACAGGCCCCGAAGATTGCGCTCCTTGCAGCCTAGTTACTTAGTTCTGCCACTCAGTGCACACCTAGGCACGATTACCATTGTAAGCAGCAGAGTTTTTGCCAGTTCATTTGAAAATAATGGAACAAGTCCAACTGTGACTGAGACCAGTAAAATCGTGTTTTCTGTGTATGTGACTTTGGTATACTTCACAGGAATTCAGTGAGGTGTTCCCCTACAAAGAAACCTACTCTTTGCTATGAAGACAGTCAGATCACACAGGCACACAGTCACGGTGCCTTCCACCACCAAGTAAACTTTTCCTTGTACTTAATCAAAACAGATTGGCCAGGGAGAAAGCTTTCACAGCCTCTCTGAAAACAATCTAGTCAAGCTTTTAGCTGCTTTGACTTCTTAACAGATGATGACAGCTTCTGAAGTCTTCTCAACTGTGTTATTTCTTATCCCATTTGCTAAAGCAAGTTGCCTTATCCTTACTGTCCTTTCCAAGGACAAACTGTTCTTTGTTGCATACAGGTTCCACTGTCACCCTGTGGGAGATCAGCCATTTAACCACAGAAAGCTAATTCAGTATTCTGCTTTAATTCGTAAAAGAGGAGCTACTGGGCTGCTCCAGCATTGCGTCTAGAGGCTGGCAGCACCTACCTTCTTCAGAGAGATTGTTCTCTTTGGTCTCCTGGTCCATCTGGCGGCACCAGCCCTCTAACCGCTCTGTTTCTGCCTGCAGCAGCTTCAGAAACCAGAACCCATCCCGCCGGCAGGCTCCTGGCTGCGTGGGTTCCGATGGTGAGGCAGATGATGTCTCAAGCCAAGGGTCAGGAGGAGGGAGAGAGGAAGGCTCCAGGGCTGGGTCAGTGTTATCTCCATAGGAGAGGTTTCTCTTAATCTGTGAGGGCTTGGCTGGTTGCCTGGTACTGGTATCAACACCAACAGAGTTGTTATGCTGGGGGCACTCAGCAACGCTTCTCTCAGATGATTTACAGCTAGAGTTGTTGGGTTCCTGTGTGTCAGAGTCTGTATCCTGTTTGGAGGACATACTGCGAGAGTGGCTGTTTCTGGAGAGATCAAACCCAAACATATTAAATAGCAGAACTCAACCTGTCTGGTTGCACAACTAGCCATTAAAGACATTTGTTTATTATGCCTGCAGTTGAGCCTCCTCATCCCCTTCTCATACACAAACACACTACACATTCAGACAGACATAATCGTAAGGTTGCTTGCTTACTGCAATAGGCCATTCAGATGAGAGGACTGACGCACAATTCTGATTACATCTTGGACTATTTTACTTATTTCAAACTCCCACTGATTTGTCTGTTTGCAGACTAAGCACTGTTTGCAGCAGGTGTGTGCTGGGGAGGAAAAGCTATCCACAGGCCCCCAATCAACACCATTTGTATTAAAACAAGGGGAGAAGGTGGTCTAGGCAGAAATGGGGAAAGAGCAATTTAGAAGAAAGGAGTAAGAATTACAAAAGCCCAGGTCTTTCACTTACCGCCACTCGTCTTCTACCTGAACCCCGATGGACTGGAATTTGGTGACTGGTGGAGGAGGCTCCTCTTTGACCACTGGCTGAAGGCAGTCAACCTTATTAAACAAAAGAAATACAGACAAAAACAGACACAAGAACTTGCTGCTGGAATTCACATTAGTAGACGGGAGGGGTGCACACACACACAGCATGTAGACACCACACACCAACTGCAGAGTTGTGCTAGGAGAGGTGCCAGGCTGCTGCATGGGTTTGCCTCCACTTGAGCACCAGGACTGTACCCCACTGGGCTGCTGCCAGGCACCTGCTCTGAGCTTACCCAGGTCTGCCATCTGCTGTTTGCATGGCACTGGCTGGGGAAGGGCTGCACATCCCCAGGGGAGCAGCTGCATGTGGCACCTGACATGGGCAAAGGCCACGAGCTTCACAATCCAATTAAGACTGACAGCAAAGCCCAGCTTCCTCTTTTCCAGGGACTGACACTCTCCATAGCCCTGGATAAAAGGCTTAGAAGGTTTCAGAAGGAAATCCAGGTGGTGGGCAGGTGGCACAGGAACAAACTCGGAAAAGGAAGAGGAATGAAGTCAGCCTCTCCAACACAACTTTTCTTGCTCATGGCCGTTAACACATGCTTTGCCCCACCAGTCACACAGAGAAGCCTTTGCTGTGCTGTGTACCTAACTGGCCAGCTAATCCCAGTGTAAAGCCATGGAGAACTTGTTCAGCACACACATGGTGACCTGCAAAGCCCAGCTCCTGATCTGGAGTTGCTGAAGTGCTCGTGTTCCTGTATGCAGTTTATAACTTGCAACACTAAGCCAGCAGTTTGGGACAGAATTGCTGTTTGCAGGGACCAGCCACCTGTACCCAAGAAATCTGTTCACAAGGAGTGCAATTGCAGGTGATAATATTTGCTGAATAAAGCATAGGTTTACACTACTCAGTGGGTTCTCATTCGCCTACAGAACAAACAACTCATTTCCATTAGTTTCCACAGAGTTAAATGCTTCCAGCAGGAAAAGCAGCAACCTGCTGGCACAGCCAGCCAGCCCAGGGGAGCAGAGGCCACCAAGAAGCACTCCCATCTGCCTAGAGCTCTGCAAGTCACACTGCAGCAGATGGCAAGTAGAGGGGCCCATCACTCAGAAGAAATTTGTCCGAAGAACCACAAAGGACAGGGAACAGACTGATGCTAAGGAGTGGGAGCAGAGCACGAGATCAGTGCAGGTTTACTAGCACCAGAACCCCTCTTAGAGAGACCCACTCAGTTAATAAGGTCTCCCTGATTTATGATATATTTCAAACTGAAATAACTTATAAGTCTCAGGTCTGTTACAGAAAGCTGCTGCCCTATCTCCCCCCGGGAACATGGAAGTTAGTATAACAAGCTGTTCTAAGTGGGTTCAGATGCACACCTGGTCACACAAAACACACACGCTAAATAGATGGGTTTAGGACATTCCTTTAGAATGGGTTAAGAACATTCCTTAGGACACAAAGAAGAACAAACTGTTTCATACTTGTATTCCTATAGATGACAGTTTTCGTTTGGGGACGTTCTCCACTTTAGGCTCTTCACTCGTCAGAGTCCCTTTGTCGCTTTTCAAAGTTGCATTTTTCTGTGGTAGTTCTGGAGTGTCTCTTGCTGGAGTCACGATGCTGCCCCTCGTAACGCTGGGTGTCCTGGTGCTGTCTAAGCTGTCTGAAGAATTGCTCAGTCCCGACTGGCTGGTCACCTCGCTTTTGTGGTCCTGGCTGTCCAGGTAGGTGTCCTGTGCCGATTCAGTGCTGCTCTGTACAGTGACAGAGATGAACGGCTTTGATGTGGTCCGAGGTGGGACAGGAGGTGGAGTCTTTTTATATGCCACTAGGCATGATGAACCTGCAGTGATGGAGGTGAGGAGAATGAAGAATAGAAGAAGCAGACAGAAAGAGATACAGTAAAAGAAAGAAAAAGCAGGTCAGTCACAACATCCAAGAGGAGCCTCCAACCAGAAGCTGGAGGCAGAAATGTAGAAACAGCCTATAGCCAGCAGCTCATACTGAGTAACCCAAACCAAAGCATAATGGGAAGCAGAAGGCAGAGCCAGAGCTAGCTTGCAAAAGGAGTTAAAAGAAATACCATGATGTGTGAAAGGCTAGTAATGGAGAAGAGGTACAGAAAAGCCTCCCAAGACTGCTACAAGGTTTGGCAGGTGTAAGTCTCCACGCTGGGGGAACTCTTTTTGGCTAAGCCCTATGTTTTAGTGTCCTAGTACAGCCAAGTGTCTCAGCTCTTTGTCCCATCAGTTGACAACTTTCAGTATCTGGACCAGGGTGGTGTTTTTTCCTATAAAAATGGAAAGAAGTCATAACATTTATTAGATGTTGATAGTAAGAATATAAAAATCTAGCTGCTGTACATTACAGGAAAATACATCACGCCAGATCCAATAGCCAAAGAGAGGTGAAGGTGAGGCTGTGCTGCTCCACACAGCAACAGAGATATACACACTGCCACTACATACACATATACACACATAGGCACACAATGTCAGACAGATCAGAAGAGAGTCCCCAAAAGACATCAGCAATGGCTTCATCAAGGTAGGTCCTCCAGCAGCTGAGCCCCCTCTGCCTGCTGACTGCCCCTCTGGACTGCGGGCTCCTCAGTGTCTGGGGACAGAAGCCAAAGGCTAAAGGCCTTCCTCAGCTGCAGTACAGACTGGTGCGCGCACACACACACACACAGGGTCCTTATGCTCTCAGCCCAAGAGCTGCCCTTGCAGACCCACTTGCCCTGCTCTCAGCCTGCATCCTCTACTCACTGGCTCAACAGGGATGACCATTCCCAGCAATCACACAGTCATTGCCCCTGGACATGAGGACCCTGTGATCTGGCCCTGCCACAGCCCCCTGCAGCCTCACCGCATGATGTGGGGACACAAAGCCCTCACCCAGGTCAGGATTTTCATATGAACAGTACAGACCATACTGGGCAGAGCAGAGGTAGCAAGCAGCTACCTCACTACATGCACCTGCCCCCTATCATCCCCTTACCCCTCTTTTCACCTTAGTTTTATTCCTCCCCCAGTCACCCAAACCCTGCCTTTGTTCCATCTTTGGTCTAGCAAGTCCTATGTCATCCCAAACCATTCTTCCACTACACCTGAGTACCTATGTGGGAAGAGGTGTTTCAGGCAACTGAGTCCCACAGCTCCTCCTTTTTTCTCTCTAGGAATGTCCCTGCATGCCACCCTGTGTGTCCCCAGGCACCTGGCCATACTGCTTGCAGACAATTGCACAGCAACGCATTGTGCATCATGGGCTATTTACACATTCCACAGGTGCCTTTATTAATGGCTAGAAGCTCTATTTCAAAGAAAGAGCTAAAAGAAAGGGCTTACAGAGGAGACCCATGATCCCAGAAGTGTTTGCATAGCTAAAAATGCTGAGAAGTGCTGTAACGGTCCTACTGCTGCAGGAGAATGAAGCCCATAGAGGAGTTCAGAAAGGCGAATCAGTACCAGTTCCCTCCTGCCCCAATGCACAGACTGAGTACAGAGTGAGCAGTGACCTGGATGCCACCAGAACAAGACCTCTCTTGCCAGCTCACCCAGCCCTCACACCCCTTTCTGACACAGGTCCCTCCTGCAGCCATGAGGGCCATACAGTTGGAAGCACACAGCTGAAAAATACTTGGACAAGTGGGGACTGGGCAGTTTTTCAGCTTGACCTGTTCCTGCTGCTGTTCCTTATGGTGACACAAGCTGTGTAAACTGCTCAGGACAGCCCAAGCCTGGAGCTGCTGTTCGTCCTGCCAGAACAGGAACATATTAGGCTCTTGAAAAGCCACCCACAGTGATTTCCTAAAAGGTCAGATAAGTGTAGCAACTTGTCAAATTCACATGCCAAAATACAGCTACACACATCGTTTAGCCAATTCTTGATTGGTCACATAAACAGCATGCTGCTGTCCTGCCAGGGCACTGCCAGCTGCTGACTGTAATCACACCAGCATTTGCTTCCAGCTTGCCAGCCCCAGATCATCCCTGTCCTTTGCAGGCCGCAAGCTCACGCACCAGGACAGCAGCAGGACATGCTGCAGATGCTCAAAGCAGCACCAGATCAGAACTGTTTAGTATCTCCAAGCAAGTCAACCTTGAAACCAGGATGTTGAGTTCAGCAGAGGTACCAGATTCAATGGCAGCACCTGCACAAGCACAGGCTGAACTGCAGTATGGCCTCTGCCCACAGCAACGCTTCTCAGCACTGTGCAGACATACAAACCAGGAGATCAAAGCACCAGACACTGCATAACTGCTGTCTTTCTCCCCAAGTTCCCTGCTGCAAATCTCCCAACACCTCCTTAGGTGCACTGCAGATCTGGTCACATTAGAACTTAACTTGTTACAGATGTTCACCTGCTCAAACCTTTCAGGACAGGTCTTGGCTACACCTATCCAGTCACTATGCTAGATGGGTGAAGCACTCTTCACGTGAACATGGTCAGCAGCAGCTCTCCTGGGCAGGAAAAGGGAGCCATGGAGCACCCCACAGGTAAGGAGTCTGCCCAGGCACCTCACCAAAGCTATCTGATACAGGAACATCATATTAAATTGTTGCACCAATTTCTGGGCCATGTCTTACACCCAGCCTGTACAGTTCAACCCAACAGAGCACTGTAGGATGATCAGACTGAATGAAACAAGAGGAAAAGCCCCTTTACACAAAGTGGGCTACACCAAATGCAGGATGCTCATGATGGCACATGTCACTATAGCAGGAGCTGAAGCAGCTATTAACCAAGACAAGCCAAAGCTACCCAAAGGGGCAGAAGAGAAAGCCTGTCTCTCATAACCCTCTTCTCCCTACATCACACATCCTCTCAGTTCCTCCAACACTGTGCCCAGCCTCAATGTGCCCCCCCCGCCAGCCAGCAGTGAGCCTTGGGGAGATCACACCATGCAGGGCAGAGCTGATAGGACTGACTGCTTTGGCACTTCTGCTGCTGTGTTTACAAGCAGCACAGCTTGGGTTTCCCAGCTGCTGTTTATGCCCACAGGGTTGTACTGTAATTAGGAGAGTAAATCAGCTGCTATCTGATATCGAATACTGCAGCTAGGCAAAACAAGGGGAGGGCAGCACATCAGCAGAGACAGAAAAAGGCAGATTTCTTAGGGAAGACAGGTGGTGTTTAGGGTCAGTTATACAAATTCAACCTTTCACTTACTTACAAGCAATAACACTGCTTGCAGTGCTGTCTATACTGAGCAAAGCAGCAACTTCTTGTTCCAGAAGATGTTCAACTAAAGGGCACAGATTTTGCTAAAAGGAAACCCCACTGTGCAGCAACAAAATGCCTCACTGACTGAAGTGTGGTCAAAGAGCTGCCTGTGACTTAAGAGTCTACAGCTCTAAAAGCCCATGCAAGTGGAAGGAATGCATGAAGATCTGAAGCCCTGAAAAGCCAAGAGTGCTTCAATGAATGCAGTTACAAATTAATCCCACTGAAGCCCTCTGCAATCACAAGGCAGGGACTTTTCACTGCAAAGCCAGAAACCACAATGAACCTAAACATAACCTAAAATGGGCTTCAAAAGCCATGCAGGGTAAACCAACCTGTAACAGGCAGTCCTTCTCCCTCAATGCAAATATGAAATTTCAGTGTTTCTCGTGTCTGTGGGAAGAGTTAAGAAGCCCTGCGGAAGCCAAGTGCATTGTGCTGTTTCTGTAGGGGAAATGTTATGAACCAACCAGGCAGCATGCCTCATGCCACTGGTCAGCCCCAGCAGTGAGCAGCTCCTGATCCAATGCAGGTCACAGCCTACTACATTTTTGCTTCAGTCTGTGATGTAACATGGAGCTGCAGCCCATGAGGGCAGTGAAGCAGGTACACATTTTACTCTGCTGTTTGTCTGTTGTGTGCAGCACCACTCTAATTTGTGAACATTAACCAATGCTGCAAAAAGGCACTGAAGAACAAGAGATGGGGAAGCTTTGCTTAAGCCTCCAGCTCTGCAGCATCAGACCCTCTCCACCCATAGGATCTCCTACAGTTTATTTATGCAAGTCATTAGAATTTACAACTGCCATGGATGATTGATGGGCTAGGGGAGGGCTGTCTGTTTATAGCCTTCCTTCCATAATTGTTTTCAGAAAGCAGCATGTTTCAAAATTAGCATCTTCCACATGACATTACCTGCTGCTCGCAGGGCCTTGGGCAACACCCACTGACTTCAGGCAAAAGAGCTTCACTTTCAGAGTGTTAACCTGGAGGGCTGCTCTGACCCTCAAAGCAGCCAGGCATGCTGTGATCCTCATCCTCTCCTTCTGAACTGGGCAATTGCTTCTTGGAAGACTAAAGCACAGGAGTCAAAAAAGAATATTAAAGCCATCGCAGCCTTGAGAGGCCCCTGTTCAAACACAAGCAAGCTGAACTTACCTGCTCAGTACCTGCAGCACTGCCAAGATCATAGCCAAGGTATTTGGTTCTAGATTTAAACACTAATTGTCATCTGGTGTGTGTCTGGCACAAAGTGCAATTATTTCGTTGCTCCAGTTGATTCAACATAGACAAGTGGTACTCCTTGTCATCCTCATGACTTTAAAGACCTATTCAAGCCATCCTCAATTTTATTAAATTAAAATCTCCAAGTCACAATCAGTTGTGAAGCTAGGTGTATTAATAGAGCTCAGATTGCTAACCACTTTTGTGCCCTATACATCCTCTTTCTCCATGGAAAGATCTGAAGAAATTACATCCCTTCCCCTTGCATAAGGCAACGCATGCCAAAATAATCTCTCCCACTACAAGGCAAGCTCCCTTGCCTTTTAAATGAAACTTCCCAATACTAATGCAGCAAACAAGAACAGCTCTAAGTTGCATTTTGGTCACATCTCCAGACTTGTTTAAGGGGCATATTTACAGGTAGCTTTTAACAGCAAATTATACCAGAACAGTCACATTCCAAACAGCCTAACCTCTGGGTTTCCATGAGCTTGCACAACACAACACAGGACTGAAGCTATAATGACCCACAGGATGCCTTGTTCGTAGGATGTCCAAGGAAAAATGATTCCTACTAACAATTGCTACTGAAAGCAATACAACCGGACAATAGTTCAGACAGAAGGGACCTCCACCTTTTCCTCATGCCTACCTGTTAAGTGACCATCTTCATCAAGTATCAGTCCAGTGCTTTCTCTAGATCCCTTCTTGCTGTTGACATGCATAGAAGAGCCATTTTTCTTTACAGTAAAAATTCTGAACTGAACTATTTCACCATCACCCCAGCCAAGACAGCCACCTGCTGTCACGGCTCCCACAAGGCATCCTCTATTCTAAAACATGTCTAAGAAGGCATTTGTTCTAGCTGACTCACTTGGTACTTGCAACAAAGTTATCTTTCACATGCTCGAGGAACATCCCAGACTTCTTTGTCACAGCAGTATGATAACCCAGCTTAAGAAGTTAGAAGTTTCTTATAAGGATGAAGGCAAGCATTCCAGACATTTCCCCAGTTTAACTACAGAGTAGGTCATCCGTGCCTGCTCTTGCTGCACTCCAGCCTGTGTTGCTTCCGTGGAAACTGAATGTGCCCATCAAGACCTGCGGTGTGACCAGCCCAGGCCCTCTGAAGCTCTCAGATAATCAAAACCAACATCTTCAGCCCCTCCAGCTTTGCTCACTGTAACTGCTGTGGGCTTGTAATCATGCAGATGCCAGGAAGGAAGCACCACCAGGTGTGCATTACACCTCCTGCTCGAGTCCATGCACAAGACACTCTGGCTGCATGTACCACTGCATGCTGCTCTGAAGGAGGCCAGAGAAATCCAAGCTCTCATTCCCCTATGAACTTCCTCATCCTCAGCTCCTAGGCAAAGCACAGCTCTCTGAGTAGGGCAGCACAGCAAGCAGCTTGTTTGCACACATGCAATGACAGCCACTGTCATTGTGGCATTGAGGCAGCCACTGGCACACCACAGTCTGCAATCGTTTCTCCCCCTACCAACTATACTACCATTCTGAAGACAGATACTTGCTTTCAGGACAGACACAGTGATGTCTGGTGCTGGTGTGCACTGCCCCATCAATCCCAAAGGCACTGGGCATCCCCTCAAGCCAGCTCTGGGACACAGTACCAGCTTCACCAGCACACCCAGCCAAATGTGACAGCATCACAATGTCAGGGAACACAACTGAAGCAGAAACAGGGATGGAAGGCAGGTCTGCAGATATGGGAACTGGCTATTTCCACCTGACTATTTCCTGTACAGGCTGGGTGTTGATATATCAACAGCAGTAACTCACCTATGAGATGAGCATGCTAGATGGAGGTGCCCTTACTAACAGGGCCATTCTTCCCACATCACACAGCCTTTCCCCAGGAGCACCCGCCATCATACCAGACATACCTGATCCACACCAGTCTCCAGCTGCCCAAGGCCTGTAGTAGGCTTCTACATTTCAACAACCTGACATTTCTTCACCAGAATAACTATTCTACTTAGTTTTAAGGCAAGAGAAACATCCACTCCTTTAAAACCTAGCCAGGAGTCAGCCAAAGCAGCTAACAGTCGTTATCCTCCTCATCACAAAGCAGCAAGTGCTGCCATGCTCATATTATGAAGTCACATGCAAACAGATTTTTGCTCCCTAGCTGGGAAGACAGTTGCTGGTCAAGCAAGCAGAGATCCAACACATGTTGCTTCTGGTTCAGTACCATCTTGGTCACAGCACTCTTGCAGATCAGCAGGGCTAAGCCGGCATATTTATTCATCTGTTGCCTGTTATTAAGACATAAGCGGCTGCCTTGCATTTATTTGTCCACTACTAGGTACATTAAGTTCTTAAGTATTATGGAAACAAAAGAAATGGACACATCTGCAGAAAAAGGACCTTGAATGCAAGGGAACAACTTCAAAGTAGTACAGCCATAGTAAGAGCTCCTTCCCACCATGCGAATACAAAACCCAAGGGCTGCCCTTGAGTATTAGCTATGTACCTCTTGACTAAAGGTACAACCTTCATCCAGAAGCTCACCACAAAATGGCCTATGCAACCATTTGTACTCTGCTCATTTGTGACCGAGATGCCCCCAGGGTGAGAAGTGAGTTAACAGCCAGGGGAGGCTGTGCTGCTGGGCCAGGGGCCACACAAGCTGAGGCAGGGACAGGCGGGAGGGCACAGCACTGCCACTCAGGACTGCAAGGCACTTCAATAGCCACTTCTGATCAGATGTCCAGGCCCCAGTGCTCTGCAGAGGGAGATGGAAAATTCACCCAGGGAAAGAAAGGCTGAGGGTTGTGATCACTTAAGCAGCTTTGGATTTTTCAGTGTATCAGGTTTGAGCATTTTGGAGATGCTCCTACTCAAACTTTGTAGCAATACTCAGACAGAAGTTACAATAAGTACTTACACACCAAAACCTGCTACAATGGAAGGGCACAGCAGCTTTCTTTCCTTCCCTTTCTTGAAAGGAAGCCTGTCAGAAGGTCACAGATTTAAGGAGAGCCATGAGGCATCAGATGACACCACCCAAGAATGCTGGGGTTTAAAAATACAGCATCTCCACAGTTAGGCTTCTGACCCATCTGGTCATCTCCTCCTTTCAGGGCACAGTTAACATTACTGTGAGGACAACACATGCTGCAGAGAAGGCAAACCACAGACACTCCCAAACACATCTACAGCAACTGTTACTGGAGCTTCTATTTGTAGTAGAAATGACACTGTAACTTCTCCCCACCCTCCCTAAGTCATTTCAGCACAGGTTTTTTAAAGCAAGAAAGAGCAGCTATATGCAACTCCACCCTGCTCCACAGCCCTGCACCCAGCAAGCTCGCCATCTGTATTGTGGACACAGGCAGCTCTCCAACCCAGCTGGCAGAGAGTAGCAGCGTACAGGAATATTTTATTTTCAAGCTGTTAATTCACTAATAAGCAGCAGAAGTCTTAAAAACTGTCACCAGTGCCTAGATGAACTCCTGGGCAACAATGTGGAGTGACCAAGTATCCACACTGCTAGCTTGTCTGATACAGGCTGGGCAGCAAGCACTCCATCCGATTCCTTCTGTTGCTCATTCTGCCCAGCAGGTCCCACTGTCACAGCTCCACCTGCACAGCTGGGCTGCACAGCCCTCCCCTACCTAGAGGTACTGTGACTAGTTCTGGGCTCCCCAGTACCAAAAAAAAAAAAAGACAGGAATCTCCTGGAAAGAGTTCAGTGGAGGGCCACAAAGATGATGAAGGGCCTGGAGTACCATATCTGAAGACCCACCTTCTATCCCTGCTTCTGCTATGCTTCCCAACCGCAGCACCATCACACTGCAGCCAACTCCCTGCCTGTTCAGAAAAAGTCAACAAGCAGCTACAGAAGAGCCAGCATAATCCTAGGCCCATAAAAACAAAACCAACCAACCATTCCACATACAAGTGTGTGGAATCCCACAGGGACACAGGCTCAGCGTGGCTTTGAAGGCGCACTCAGATACACCACTCTTCCTGTTTGCTTTTGCCCAGGGGATGCAGACACAGCTGAAAAGCACACTGGCATGGAGGCACCTGGGGCTGGGGAGCAGCACTGCCACAGCACGGAGTTCAGTGCGTCACCCAGAACAGGATGGCTGCACACCCCCACACACCCCTTGGCACCAGTGGCACCCCAGCATGCCAGAGTGTCTGCCCCAAAGAAGAACCTGGGCCATGTCCATGCAGTGACTGTCAGTGCAGAGCAGAAACACACGGAGCTCAGCACTGATACCACCAGTCAGGCAGGAAATTAGAGACCACACTGATCTGCTAGCAAAACAGGAGAGAAAGTGACTGAAAACACCTGGAGCCCTACCTTCCATGAGGAACATCCCTCAGGAACAGTGCTTACTGCAGCCCCATTCCTCCTTTCCTGAACAGGAACACTGCAGTGATCCAGAAATGATGATTCCTTCACTGAAGAGCTAGAAGAACATTAGAGCAGACCTCCCACTACAGCTTTTATCTGGGGCACCTTTGGCTCAGCAGCTCCAAATTCATTAGGGAGGCCTTGTGAAGAGTAAGAGTTGTGCAGGTCCTTCCAAAGCCACAAACAGGACAGTCTTCAAGGAGCACTGTTCTGAGCTGGCTGCTGTGATGTTACACAGAGCTCTGACCATGTTGGAGCCTCTCTGTGTTCAGCATCACTCCCTCCTTACTTTTGTATAGAGAGACTAAGGCAGCACATATTAATTAGGGGCACATATGTGAACAGGACACAGATTATTAGCCAGTGCCACAATGTTGCAGGCTGTTTTGCTTCTCCACTGGTGATGTTAACCCAGCACTGTCAACTTACCCACTGCTACAGGAGCAACTGATGCGCC